AGATGACTTTGTGAGGTCCCTTCCAGCCCTACTTTCCTAAGATTCTATGAACACCACATCAAGATAAGAGAACCTAAAAACGAACCTTAAAACATCATACAAGAAGTCCATTGCAACAACAAATTATTAGGCTCTTTGCAAAAGTAAACTAAGAAGGCTGTGTTTGCAATAAAAGTCTGAAATGTTAAACGGATAACGAACCAAATTTATCCAAGAAAGTTAGCGGAGGTACATCAGAGATCTGATCCAAGGTTGTTATCTAGGCTTTAGAGAAAGCTACCAGCCTAAATTGCTATGTGTGTGCACAAGCTTATGCCTAACACATTGTTGAAAGAGCAGAATTAATAATAAAAGAAATGCATGCAATTAAATTAGTCCAACTTAAAGGACTGTGTATTGTGTTGAAGTAGAAACTATCAAAAAAATTGAAGAATATATTGGCAGGGGTGTTGTGGCCTCTCTCAAGGCAAAGTACAGCAGTCTGATTTGCTGCCTTGTAACTTTGCATAGTTCAGAAAATGAATGCTATCAGAGACAAAAAAGGATGTTACAAACTTTCCCTTCACAAATAATTTGGTGGCTAAAAAAGCCTCACCAAAATGCAAAATGGTGAAACTCTTTACCAGTTTCCATCGTTTTCATAACACGCACATTAAAATTCAATTTCCTTTAAGTTTTTGTTGAGCAAAAATAGCTGTCATTTTCTTTTTGTGTCGTGAAATGAAAGTCTTGCAAAACCCACCTTAGAGGAAACAGAATACTTAGGACAAAAGCATGCTAAATATTCCACTTCTGATGACACTAGCAAAAACATGATTTTTTGCCTTATTTGATTTCATAAATCAATATTTTTGATACTCCTATAATTATTGGTATTTAAACACAAGCAAACTCCTAACAAATTGTAATAGAATGCAAGAGAAAAGTAAAAAAAGGATCTCTCATGTGGGTTGCCATCACACTTCCAGATGTTACTGAGTATATCAAACACAACCTGCTTAGTACTTTTGATTATGATATCTAGACTTCTTACAGACTTTTTTCAATAAATAACTTTTGCTCACCAAAACTTTCAATGCAGCAAGTGTGATTTCTAATACCACCACCACCACCTACTTGTTTCACAATTTTTGCTGCTTCAGTGTTTCTTCGGTAAAATATTTCTTTGTATTCATCCATCCAGACTTCTGCAAGGCGGACTTGATTACGTATGATCACTTGGGTACCTGTTGGAAAAGTGTGCGGGCTCTTGCTGCGAAAGACATGGCCAACAACAGAGCAAGGCATGATCTCCAACTGTCCACCACATTGCCATACCTAATAATAATATTTTTTGTGTAAGTGCACTGTAGTTAGAAGTATTATAAAGCTCAAAAATCAACATATATTTTGCAATTTTAATGTTAAGCCCTTTAAAAAAAATTTGGTAATGGGCTCCCAGCAAGTGCTAACTTATGTTATACCTTCAAATCGGATTTCTTAGTTGGGTGAATGCTAGAAACCAAAATTTGAATATCTAACTCAAACATGCATTTTAGAAAATTACTGCAGTGACCAAGCATGTAATTTATTCTATTTTTTTCTACCCCTAGCTAGGAGCAATGGATTCCTGCTGTAGCAGAGGTAGCTCAGTTTTCATATTCTTTTAGTTCTTGAACTCTCTGCTATCATTCAACTAACACTAAAATATGATATTTTTTGAGGACATATTTACTGGATTTTTGCAATGATTATACATCTCATCTTTCTAAACTTACTCTGAAAGACATTTCTATATTTTCACCTCCCCATATTTCCATTTCTTCATCATAGCTTCCAATGTATTCAAAATAGCCTTTTGATATTGAAAAGAGACCTCCAGCAAAAGTAGGTGTTCTGCAAAAAGAACAATCACTGTTAAATCATTAGTTTACTAAACAGGATTAAAACTATTTAAATTATTTTAAGATTAGTTTAGGCCTTAGTATAATCATGCTAATAACTTCCTTGGCAAGCAAGCACAGAGTTAACCAGCTGAAATGGCAAGGCACATAGGCAAAGGCACCTGGGTTTTGGCCAGTATACTGAGAAGGCCAGCCATTATGATTGACGTTCCATGGTAGAAACCACCCTGAAGTCTGGGCATGACAGTCCACATCACCAGAACTGCTGTAGAATTTGGAAGCAATATGCCTTCATGTATGGAAATTCTTTTTGCAAAATTCAGTTGCAATGCCTCAAACACTTCCAAAACACAAAAAGGAAGGAGTCATTCACCACTTTTGCTATATTCTCTCTGATCCTTAGCTTTTTAATTCTGGCCTCACTTTTGGAATCCAAAGCCAAATCAATGTAGCTTGCTTTGCTTTTAGTAGCTGAAGTAATATTAAAATCGGTAAAGACAGAGTGGCGTGGTCTTCAGACCAGGCTGTAGAAGCCCAGGATCCCTCATCGAGTACTAATTCAAGCAGCCATACAAAATAGTTAAAGCTAACTAAAGTATGTTGGCCCATTCTGAAATGACATCTCCCAAATACAGACATGTTCTTTAGCTGTATGTATAAACAACAGTTCTCTCCCTAAAATTTTTTATTTGTTCTCTCCCCACTTTAGAGAATGATAGCATATACTAGCCACTTGTATTCAATCCATCACATTGGATAACTGTTCAAAACTAGATGACATAGTGGCTAAATTCTGTTGACTGTTTACCTGCATGAATGCTCCTAAATGGCTTCCATTGCAGGAGTTTCCTTCTTGCAACAATGATGGGAAATTAGCGGGGATGGGGGGCGGGGGGAGGAAATCTTATATTTAAAAACTGTTTGTAAAATCTGGAGCTTCTGATTGTTTTAAATATCAGATGGATAACCGAAGTTCTCTAGGAAATAATTTGCAACTTAAAGAATTCCAAATATCCTTCAATTTCCTCCCATTTACCTAATTGGATAAGTTTCATCCTTTCTTCTTTTTTTCTCATGTTTAGGAAGAGATTCCCATCCAAATGACAAATTCCAGTCAAAATTTCCTCTGTTATGGTTATGTCCATAAGGAGAAGGTTTGCTGAACTCAAAAGTATTGAGATCTATGGATGCAATATCAGGACTTACAACAGCAGTGTAATTCTCAGCTATTCTGGACAACAATGGCTCTAACCAGCCATAAAAGCATTCACCTACAGGAAAAGGGGGGAGGAAGAAGAAAAAAAAAAATCAGTTAAGGACTTGAAGTTTTAGTCATTCTATAAAATAAGTAGGATTCAAGAGGATATTTTTAGATATGCTTAAAGTCTGTAGAACTGAATCTTACAGAAGAAAAGGGAGAACATTTTCTTAAAATCAAACTTGTTGAATGGACCCAAAGCAGCTATACTGTGCCTCTTCCAGAATTTGGAGGGCCCTAAATAAATGTGGATAAGGCATGCTTCTCACCTGTGGTTCCAGGCAAGGTAGACAAGTCCTTATTCTGTCTAGTCACTTAAGGTAATCTATATATGCATTAGTTCAACACTATGTGTTTACTTGCATACAACACCACACTAGCAGAGATAGCACACGAAATTTTAACAAATTATATTGCTTTCAAGTCTGGAGCTAGCACATGAATGAAGTATTTCTGCATGACACTGCCCTGTACTATATAGACTTAATTTCAGTAATACAAAATGGGTATTTTGGCAAAGCTAATACTTTTAATATTTTCAGAAAGAAAGAAGAAAATAAAATGAATTGGGAACAAAATGTACACATTAGAATTATCTGGAATTGTGGTAAATCAATAGTAGACATCATAGGATTAGCACCAATATACTTACAGTGTGCATCCAAAAAAGTGAGACTCTCTCCTGTTGCTACTGAGGCTCCTAGTAATCTTGCAGTTATTAGTCCTTTTCTTTCCTTTTGTCTGACTACTTTAACTATTTGAAATGGTTTCACATATTCGTCTAGCTTATCATGCAAGTATTCTGAAAAGAAAAAGTAGATATTCCTGGTATTCTTTAAATGACACTGGCTACGATTCACCTAATTTTATGTTATTTTCTTGTTGAAAATGTTACCTGTTAAAATATGTAAAGATAAACTTAAAAAATATATAACTTTTCTACATGCTACTGCTCCAGATTAGCCTAAGATTATCAACAGCTTTATAAAAGACATAAAATACTGTTTTGTTTAAAAGGAATTAACATTTTGCCTATGACTGGTTTAAGGGGAATTAACCATCACCAACCCAATGCTTAAAACATCATAGATGAAAACAAGGAATACCATTTTATTTAGGTCAACCCTAAAATGTATTTTTGTCATAGGCAAACAGCAACAGTAAAAGTTATGATAACCTGTATTTTATTTTAAGAATTATCAAAGACTCTTCAGCATAAAGCAAAAACCACCGAGTCTTTGAAAATGTAAATAAAATAATTTTAAGCAATCCCACAATATGGAAACAAAACTTAAACATTATTTCACCTCAAAAACAGAAATGACTACTACTTCAGACATAAGGCAGGGTAGAGATGCACTTTATAGACTAAATCAGAGAATCGTAAGTTTTTGGGAGCCCACATATTTAAACCCGTGTGAGAAAAACAGTAACCGTGAAACTTACTATCCATGTTATACACAAAGATGCCCATAAGAGAAGGTTTTGCATTTACTGATGAGTACATAAGCACATTTTGCAGGCACAAAGGATCATTAATGACTACACTGTTTAACTGCCAGTAGAATTTTACATAGACAGGTAGACAAAAACTTGTAAGTTTTTCCATCTGTTAAGTTTAATTTTGGCTTTTTGTATCTTCTTTTCTATTAAATGATGAATTTTGCTACTCAATAATACATCTCATCTCCAAAGCCACTGATATTCCAAATATCAAATAACCCTGGATACATTAATTTGAATGTTTGTTCAGAATTATGCCTCTGCATTTAAATGCAATTTAAAAACAATTTTAAATTGTACAATTTGTGTACATTTAAATGTACATAAAAACAATTATTGTTTAAATAACCTCAGATGGATAACTGTATAAAAGTTTTAGAAGCAGCAGCAGTTTTTATTTTAATATTCAGTTATTTAAAATGCCATTTTGTGGGAAAGGAGGTCTCTTTTCATATTGCCCCCTTACCCAACACTTCAAGTGGACATTCACATGCCTAAAGTTGGACATGTGCACAAATGCTTGAAAGGTATTGTAATCACTACCTAAAACCATGGAGAGTAGTTACTTGTTTTAGCTTTGAACTGCTTATTCTACACAAAATGAAATATAATGTGGTTCATCAAGGGAGAGTATGGGCAGTTATGCAATATAAACAGTGTTACACAATTTTCAGAACTGCATTAGTGGAGCCATGGGTGGAGAAACACTGGATCCCACTAAATGGAGAAAAACCTTGTATTTTTTTTTTTTAATCTAGCATGAGCGTAACTTAAGCAAAACATGCATTCAATAACAAAAAAGAAAAAAAAAAAAGACTAATCTTTACCCCTTTTCTAAAAACTAATGATTACCAACACTTCTTTGAATGATTATTCCAAGATGTAATCTAGAGTATTCTTTAGAAAAATATATTGTAAAAATCTGATTTGTCTTACCATCTACGCTGGCATCATCCACCAAAATAATTTCTTTTAGCAGTATGGCAGGAGAAGTATACATCACGCTGTGAACTGTTCTTAGCAGAGTAGACCATGCTTCATTGTGAAAAACTATGATAATACTTGTGGTAGGCAGTGGTGGGCAACGCTTAAACTTTTGCTCAATGCATCTAGAGATTTAAAAAGGTTTTGAATGTTATATAGAATACAGAACTAGAATTTCAATTCAAAATCTTTAACCACCCCTTCCTCTTTCTTTTTGCAATTTAAAATGCATTAGTTACTGGCATTTAATGTTTTCTTCTTCTACAGTTCCCATCATAATTTGAGCGTTGGAGGACAAAGGTATAGAAGGTGTTGCATAGCATCTCTGTGTAGTAAGGTATGGGGAACTGGACAGCAAAAGTTCCATTGAACAGTTAGCAGCTTCTGTCCTTATTTGATCTTGTATACAACCATACAGCTTCCATGCAAGTCAATGGGACCTGTGCATTCATCAGGCCAGATTTTGGCTCATCTAGTTTCTACCAGTCATTATTATTACTACTACTACAGAGTATATATGAACACGAGCACTCCAGAACTAAGAGAACAATATATAATACCAAAATGAAATACATTAAAATAATAAAAGGAAATTCTTTTTCTAATGCACAAATAGACTCTGGAACTCATTCTCCCAACTTGCCACTGAAGCCAGTAACTATGCCATATTTAGACATATGATCAAGACCATCCAAAGGGGACATGTCTAGGTAAGTGGGGAAAGTCTGAGTTTCTATGCCTGCCCAGATCCGCCTCTGGGATCTCTGGGGAACCATTTGGGTAAGCAAAGAAAGTTGGGGCTCCCCAACTTACCCAGATGGCCCCTGGAAATCCCCAGGGCAGATCTGGGAGAGTCCTGGCATGAAATCATGGGACACTGGACATTCCTCCCATCCTGTGCCTCCACAATGAGACCCACATGGGCTTTCACTGCTTACAGAGAATGCCCATGGAGATCCAGGGGCTGGTCTTTGTAAGAGGGGACCCCTGACTTTCCCTGCTTAGAGAGAAGTGCCCCAAGTTTTTCCAGGGGAAAGCCAGGCGGCTGGTCCAGGGGCTTAAGGGGCCTGATTCTGCATGGGAATTCCTAAACAGCAGTCCTAAACTTTTTCTGCCACTTCTTAGAGAAAGGAAGCGGATGGCAACTATTAAGCAGTCAGGAGGGACAGAATCATAGAAAATTAGGGTTGTAAGGGACCTCAGGAACAAAAGCAAAGCAAAAGCTTTGGCAGGCATATACATGATGCCCATATTTGGAAAAAAGGTATCCAAAGATCATAATTCTCCAAATGAGAAGGGAGCATAAAAATACACACACACACACACGTTCAGAATTATTTTCCCATTTTCCTTGTTGAACCAGCATCCTTGACTATATAATACCTGCTAAATATATATGCTTATCATCTTTAAAACAAGCCAAGAGAGAGATAATATATATTAACAGCACCCAACAAGCATAAGCAGCAGGGAATCTTCCCTTATGTTGAAACATTACTTTAGATATTAAAGCATTGTCTAATTTGTTTTAAAATTAAAGGCATCACCTGTACACCAGCTATGATATTTTAAATTAAGCCTTTCTGTAGATTATTTTTTTTTAGTAGAGAAATGGACTTTATAGTTGAAAAATCTTTTTTAGCATCTACAGTAACTGGGCTGTCGTTGAAGATTTTACTAGTTAGGGCAGGGATTTTCAACCTTTAAGGAGCACCCCTTTTGGGTACACTTCAGGCGGAACAGGGGGTGTTACATGTGGCAGTGGCACAGGGTGGTGAATTGTGGTGGCAGCCGCAAGCTCCTGTACCGCCGCCGTGTCTGGCCAGGCAGGTGGTGCCTATGTAGCCCGCAGAGGAGAGCTGCTGCCCTCGCTCCACCCCCCGCTCCTGGGAGGTGGCAGTGCAGGATGGTGGCGCTCCATCCCCATCCACCTGTATGTACCCCTATCCCTTTCCAAGTACCCCTGGGATACGTGTACCCCCAGGTGACAACAGCTGAGTTATGGTAAATGCTATAAATGACGACATGCAGACCAGTAGACACATCAACTGAGGAGAAATTATAGCCAGTATTAAGCTTGGCATGATTCAATTTTGAGACACAGACAAGACAGTATTCCTGCCTCATCATCAACCCATTGAACCTCTACAAATATAATTTAAATAAATAAATATTTATTATGGTAATTAAGGTTGATTTTTCTCCCATCAACAATTCAGTCAAAGAAAATTGCTTCAGACATTCTGCAACTGCTGGACCCTCTTGGGCACAGACTAATAGTTATACTGAATAGCAATAATTCTTTTTAGTAGTTACACGATAAACCCCCTTTCAAGGAGGACTGCACCCATGCAAAGAACACATTTACTCTGTAACCATAGTTACATACTTAAAGAAAAAGCCAAAAACAAAACTAACAAGCACTCGAAATTTTCTCCTTCGGCCAGATGCATTTTCCAGAAAACTGTTCTGAGTATCAGTGCCAAGGTCCACATGTACATGAGCATCTCATTTCAAGCTGTCACAGTAGATCTCCAGGGTACTTCAAGAAGTTTGACACAATTAAGCTTGAACCTCAAGGACAGCTCTGAGAATTCCCACATTTTATTAATTTCTTCTCACTAAAGCCTAAGGGCAAAGATTTTTTTTTTTTTTACATAGATTATTTATTTCTATAAATATCTAAACCTCTGTCGAGTGTACATGCCTCTCCCAGTCTGTGTCATGCACAGACAAATAAGTCTAATTTCAAAGACTTTCACATCTCTATAGACACATCCACAGAAGTTTGTAATTTTGAGAAGGCAAGAAAATCCCTAAACAAAATTTCAAAAATGTAAAAAGTTATACAACTTCCAAGATCCGGAGACTACACTCTCCAGAGAATAAAAGAACCATAGATACAGCATATCCATTGTGAAAACAAGACTATATCCCAGTGTTCTCACAAGCTCTGTACCTACTATTTATTTCCTTTAGAATCTGTGGACACTGAAACCATCATGTCAGCTAATAAGACACTCTAAACTCTTACACAACTCAGCCTGTGTATTCTGTAAGTCTCTCTCTGCCTATGGATTTTGCAGTCTGAATAGGCATAGCAGATGGCATGTTGAATCTTACAGGCTAAGAGCAGCAGCTCAGGAAATTTACAACCACTAGAAGCACATCCAACAGAGAATGCACGTTCTATACTACAGATATGGACTGCTTAAGGAGCTTACAGCTCCTTTGGTAAAACTTATATAGCAGTGGATCTCAATTGCGGTTCCAGTGCTATTGCATTGCTGACCTGGTAAAAAACTGCCAAGTGCAGAGAGCTTCAGCACGCACACGCTCCTGCTACATTAACATACTTAACCCTAAAGCATATAGAATTGGCTT